GTCCGGCGTGGTAACCGTTCGACCACGGAGGCAGTCAAAATAGAAATAAAAATTGGGAAAAGAATACCTTGTCAATATGTCAAAATAGTGAAACATTAAATGGTGTAATGAAAAAAACCGTAACATGTTTTCGGACAAATGAAACAAATTCAATAAAAGGTTTTCGGAGAAACAAAATTCTATAAATCATGTTTCTAGCTTGTGATAGGTAACCTTTTATAAGAATGAGAATGAAGAAAAATAATTAGAATCTTTCAGTTGATATTTTCCGTATTAATTTCGTAATTGTTTCTCAGTGTTCGTCACATATAAAAAAATCTGCGGACAAAAGTATCGATACTATGTCCCCACATACTTGACATTGTTTTTTATTTTCGTCGAGTATTACTTGTTTCGGACAAACGTCAGATGAAGAACGAGAGCACAGGGCCTGACTACAGTAACGTGGCAGCCCCAACAGCATCACGCATTGTTATAGAAGACGCAGAGAGTGTTATAGTATAAGCTTCCATACAATTGACCTACCGGCTGCAAGTGTACAATGTCTGACATAAGCTCTGAACAAGGTCGTTTTATGTTTTGCATACCTACGGATCAAAATGAAACATGTAAATAGCAATTACCTTATTATTTATAAATAAAAGATATAAAAATTCTTGTTTTTTATTTGCCCAGACATTACATTTACACTTAATAGCATTTATAAATAATTATGATGAAGATGTCATGGACATTTTGTTTAGGTTTCGTCAAAATGCTTTGAAATCATTAAAATTCCGAACTTTTTAACATTCAACGCCATCTAGTTACTTAATGTGAAAACACTACGAAAAGTTCATTGACCGTGTGAATGCTGCCATATTAATAAAATAACAATTAGCGAGTTAATGGGCATATTTTTAAACTAATGCAAGTTAATTTAGTAAATTATTACCAATCTGTTATGGTCGAAGTGATTAAAATAGTACAGTTTTCTTTAAACTCAATAATGTTTATATATACAATAAAAAAAAAGTTTCATGAAAAGAAGATTTCAAATGTTTCGGCAAAATACATTTTCCAAAATGGTCATCCTAAATGTCAAACAATAGAACGACGCTTTGCATTTTCAAATGTTCACACGGTAGCAATTTTCCCGTACCATACTGTACCTTACGTGGTCAACATAAAGTTGATATTTGATAAATAGAATTGGGAGACGGAGTGTGTTACAGACGCATTTGACGTATAACCCAATAAAATAACACTGCACTAAATTATTGACATTGTAACAGATGAGGGGAAGGGTCGCGGAGTGCAGGGGGAAGCTAATTAGTATTACTTGACACTTTACTTTTATTTTACGACGCGCATATGTAATTTGGTCGAATAAAATTACTCATTTTTCATACAACGTTGATGGGGATCTGTGCTCGTATTTATTATAACCTTTTTTATTATATTTCGGTTTTATTTAGCACGGGAAATAGTGAAATTCGGCTCGTTTGTGTGTTATTTTATCAAAGAAGTGAATAAATGTGATAATCGTGGCGTTTTTAAGTGTGAAACAAGGTGTATTAAGTCAAAAGTAAGTGTTTTTCGTAGTATAATTAGATCAATGTACTTACGCACAACTTTTTAGTAGCATGTGCAGTTATTTCATGAGATCTTTCTATTGTTTAGGCTTCCTTCATTATTTGTTGTGCGCCATATTGAAATATTTACATGCTTTTTGGTAAATTAACGGGCCCTTATCAATCTCTTTAAACGTTTAAGTTTAAATTTTCGAATTTAAAATTCCTAATGTTTGTTTTTTTGGCAACGCGTCAGTTTGTTGAATACCTAACATTTCAAAATTTAATATCAAATGAATTTGTATATCTTGTTGTTATTTTATTAACATTTTAATGTATTTAAGACATTTTAAACATGTTTTTATTACACTATCAACATCCATAGGTGTTATGTATCGATTTTCGGCTAACAATTAACACGCCTATTGTATTAAATTCCATAGAATTACATCATAATATTATTTATTAAATATTATCTGTGAATAGAATATTGTTTATATCTGTAGGTAGATATAATAATAACCTGTTTTTGGCATGTAATAATAATATATTATTATTATTATATTATAATAGTATTATAATATAATAATAATATATTCTATAATAATATATTATAATATATTCAAAATCCAAAGTCAGGTCAAAACTATATATTATCACAACCACAGTATGTTCTTTTCGAGGCAATGTCGAGGTAGAAGTTGTGCTGGACAGCAATTCTATAATCGACGATCATATTAGATTACATTTTAAAATATAAATGTTTCTAATTATGAAAAACAAATGCAGAGTTGAAATTGTTTTTCTAAATTGCGTATATTTGTTTTTTCAAACAAACCAACATTTCGGGCCCTTTACAGGTCCCATGGTCACAGTTGACCTGTTTAAATGTGATTTAAATCCGGAAATATAGTTTCAATTCCAATATGCAACAATTGCAAAAAGCTAAGAACTCGATAAATGCCAAGTTGTGTTATAAAATTATATATTTCATAAATTTTACTGCATATCACAATTGACAGCTATGTACGGCAATTAACTCCTTGAACATAGTTATGAATTACGAAACTTGATGAGCGGACAAACATCAAAACTGCCATGATAGCGTGCCGGTACTTTAAATGCGATTTTTTAGTGACTTATTTTATTTATTTCATTGAAAAACAAATGAATCATGCTTTTTTGGCATTTGGATAGACAGAAGCATCAGACTTGCTATAGTCCTGATATCCATTCCCAACTTTGACATTCATGTTGTAACTAAAAACGACAAACGACAAAAAAAGATGATTGAAAATATGTTTTGTAAATAATTATACTGTTTTCCGCGAATTGCTCCAGACCCTACTCCTTCAGATACATATAATTGAAACAAACATGATTATTTTCTAGTATTTGCCCCACACAATAGCACCTTTGTAAACATTAATGTTAAGTCTAATAAATGCTCTTTCAGGTAATTATTAATTATTTGTCCAGAAATAAATGGATATATTTCAAAAATTACGAATTTGTAAGGTTACTTTCAAAAAAATTAAGGCTGCTTGAATATGTGCCATGTTGTAGCAATTTTGCAATTTTTTGTTTATTGTAACATACCTGTACTTGAGATGTCGATTTTGTGAAATTAGTAAACATACAAATACAAAACAAATGGAAAAAGTTATAAATTATTTTCCTCAAAATTGAACTAAGGTAATATACTCTTTAACTGCCTCTATGGCCAAACAATTACCATACGGGACTGCTACATATAGGGCTCGGGTTCGATTCACTGGCCAGGAGAAATAATTGTATGGCCTACATCTTCATCATCAAGTATAGTTACATAAATTCAGATAGT